GCTCTTCCATCCTATTCTGGTCACTCTACAAAACCGGCTCCTTGAGGGGACAGGAAAAAGCTCCCCGCTTCCCCCCCCCCCCTTTTTGTCTGAAGGCCACATGACCGACATTCACGCTGTGGGGTAAGCGCATGAAGGTGCGACTCAGTGTTACCCCAAACCCAAAGGCAGCTTTGCTTGTCCCCACCACTGCAAGCGCAAGAACACTAAACGACTCTGTTCAAAACAGTTTATTTTATTCTTCCTTTTTTTTTTTTTTTTTTTGTCAGACAAACACATTGATTTCTGGACCACAGTAGAGGATGGAAACCTTTCACAAACTTATTTATTTGAAAATACAAATATAAAAGTATACTTTCCACATCTGTGATGTGAGAGACTGCCATCCACATAGTAATTTTATTTTGTTTTTTGTTTTTTTTTTGTACAACAGGGCTTTAAGAAAGCCACACACAAAGACCTGAAAGATGCTTGAGATATATATATATATATAGATACATATATATGTATATATATAAAAAAAATACTCACTACCAAAGTTCTCATCAGTTTCATACTAAAGTATAAAAGTAAGGGTGAGGTCAGCCACAGTGCTAGGGGAACTTTTATTTAGATACATTTATGTCCACATGAAACGCTTAGACTTGCATCCTATTACATATGGAATTCTGAGTTTGTAACACCATGAATGGCAGATTGGCTAGCCCACGCTACTCAAGAGCACACTCACAGACTCCACACAGGGCGGTACAGTATGTACAGAATACAGCAGTAGGAGCCTTCCACAGAGGCTCTGGAACTGCCTCAGTCCCGTTCCCTTCCCCCCTCGTGCCCTGCCTCCCGGAAATGAAATCCTATCTGAGACAATACCTTCTGATTATTCAATAGCCATGTTTGAACTATCGTTCTTCCCCAAGAGGGGTGGGTTTTACTTATACGGTTTTTTGTTTGTTTGTTTTTGTATTTTAGTTTACTTCTTTTTGGTGAGAAAAAAAAAAGAAAGAAAGAAGAAAAACAAACTTAAGCAGTATTAAAGTATTGCTTTCCTACCAGCATTGCCTTGTGTAGTGTCTGTGCCCAGGCCTGGGCTCGCTAACGTTTGTTTTCTGCCCTAGCTGAGGGTGGGGGAGCTTCCCAGTGGCTCTGTTCCATGTGCTTACCCGCAGCCTGCCCCTCTTCCTCTACTCTCTCCGCCTGGCTAGCTTTTGCCTTCCTTGGAGGATCTGGTTAGTAAAGCACAATCAGGAAGAGAAACCAAAACCAAAACCAAAACCAAAACCAAAAAAAAAAAAAACCCAAAAATCCTCTCCCCCCTCACCTGCCCTCTAATTTCCCTGTCCCTATGTGTCACTTCCAACTGATAGAGAGAAGTATGAGTTAGTGTTTCTTTTGTAAACAATTTCATATGCAATATAATACAGAAAGCATGGCTGACCTTCAATTTAAAAAAAAAACGTAGTAAACTATATTGCTTTAGTCTTGAAGATGCTGTGACGAGTGAGTGGCAGAAGAAGCAGAGTGTAGTGGTGGTGGAGGCCAAGTCCCTAGCCCTCGTTTCCACTAAAGACCAAAATAGATTTTGTTTTTCTAGTTGGAACCAAAAAATACTCCCCCCCCAAATTCTCAAATGAAAGAAGAAACGAAAGAAAAAGAATCCCCCCCCCAAAAGAAAACTGAACACCTTTCAGGTCATTAGAACCCACAATTACCCAATGAGTTTTATACTAGTCTAGCAAGATGTGTGTAACATTCACTGGCTGTGGACTGCAGCGCAGCGAAACGTGACGTTGACAGCAACCGAGCCATGCTACCTTAAAGCCCAAGCTACAAGTTCAAATTAAGAGAATGGCTATGAAGGATTAAAAAATAAAATAAAATAATAAAAAAAACCCACAAAGGCCTGTTGGAGCTTCGTTCGAATCAAGCCAGTGAGCGGTGGGGAAAGAGTGTGAGGCTGTTTGGTTTTCCCAAATAGGTGTGAGGAAGGCCACGAACCACACACGCAGAGGCTCATGCGGACAGAGACCCAGGCTCGGTCATCTCCACCAGCCCCACATCCAGGCTGAAGTAGGGAGGGGACCAGGAGCCGCTGCCACTCCATCTCCCCCACTGGGAGGTAAGGAGCTCGGGGTCTCAGGCAGATGGACCTGGAAGCCAGAGAGTCCCCTGGTGGTTATTTGGTAATGCCAGGGAAGAGCCATTAGCCAAGAGGGTTTCTCCCCTAGGAAGGTGAGAGCCAGTCCCCACATTCGCTACTGAGCTTAACGGAAACAAAGACAAGGATGGACATTGGTGTTAAAAGAATTTACAAAAATTGTTTAAGATGGATTTCTAGATGAGGAAGGGGGGGACTAATGTGAACCCTAACCTAGGTAGCCACTTGAAAACATATCAGATGTTCCCAAGGTTTGTGCTATGGGCTACTGGGTCTCTTCAAAATGTATATAAACATCTAAAACATATTCACACAGATTATCAATTTCTTCTGAGCATCCTTAAAAAAATATTTTTTTCTCTTAGTAAAATCATTTTAATATACCACGCCTCCCTCTTTTAAAAAATAAATTAAAAAAATCCAGTTTTGCATATCTAGTGTTTGCATTTAAGGTAGTATGGCACACCCCTTCACAGAAAGGGGGGCAGGGACCTACAAAATGCCATAGAGTCGGCCGGCATTTGAACATTGTGAGACCTTGGGTTAGTTGAAACCACATCAAATCAGTAAAAATAAAATTAAATTTGAACTTGGAAAAAAAAAAAAGGAAAAAACTGCCCCCAAATTATTAGCATTTTTTCTTTTCATAAATAAGAGAAAGTTCTATCCTTACTGGTCCTAAATCTGAATAACTATGTCTAATTTTTTTTTAAAACCTTAATTACATTATACCTATGTACTAGAAGAAAGAGGAGAAAAAAAAGTTACTACGCTAGTACCAAGACGGCACGCTTACAAGATAGCCATTTTATACATTATCAACAAACGATGGTCAACAAAGGGTCTTTTATGAGGTGATGGGGACGTGGAGAAACAGACAGGGGCGGGGGACAGACATCACCAACACGGACAAAGAGTCATTACTTCTAGCTGGACACCGAACTGCTGGGATTTAGTGTCTCTCTTTCTCTTTGTCGCTGCTTTTTTTTTTTTTTTAAAACAAAATGTCTATTTTGTTATTTTTATAACTTGAATAAGTTTTGTATTTTAAAAGCATCCAGCATTTTACTTGGTTTAGTTGTTTGGAAACTTAAAAACAAAACAAAACAAAAACACCCCAAACCCAAAACCTTCCCAAACAACCCAGCATTTTATTTTAAAAACAACATGACTTTTCTTTCTTTCTTTTTCTTTAAGTTGCATTTCGTTAGAACAGAAGCAGGCTTCTTTCCTTTCTGAGTGAGCTTTCCGGAGACTTGGTTTGCCGATGCCTTTGCGCTACCATGTCTGTGAATGTCTACGTAGTCTACGTGTTAGTAAAATTCATAAAAACAGGAGTGCAGCAGCTCTTTATAATAAACGTCGCATTCAGTGTCTCATACTGGCTGTGCCTTAAGTACCAAATTTATAAACGTAACAATTTAAAAAATATTAATAAAATGTCAATATCACATTTTAAAAAAGAAAAAATATATATCCACACTACAATATGCTTTAATGCCACCTACTGAGATTGTACTTCTACAGTTACTGTTGCCGACCTATGACCAATATTTTTTTTTAAAAAAAAAGTTAAATTAAAAAATATCCTTCATCCTACGTGTCTTTCCCCAGCTGAGGACCATATATTATAACAGCCAATGTCAGGCATGTGCAAACAGGAAACGGTCAGTTTTTCCCACCAGTCACAGTGCAGTGATGTTTATACTTTTTATTTTTAAAATTCTGTTTACATCTACAATAAATTAAAAAAGAAAACAAAACTCTTCCATAGCCTCTCTGATGATACTTGCAGCACTGAGGTATCAAAATAAAAATATATATATATATAAACTGAAAGGTTGCTTTCCTAATTTGTAAAGAGAAAGTGAATGGAGAAAAGATGTATTCATGCAGGCTTATCCGCTCCTGGCCCGTGGGCCCCCGCTCTGGGGGCAGGATGGGGGACAGGGTGAGGAGAGAGGCAGAGTACCCTAGGGACCTTTGGAGGTGCTGAAATGACTGGACAATATAAAATGATCAGACATTTAAAAATTAAGACTGAAAAAGAATGTCTTACCCTGCCCCTCTCATAAGCCAAAACAGGTATGTTTGGAAACTTTAAATATGTTAAATATTAAAATTATAGCTTTTTTCCTTTAAAAATATCTTGGGAAAAGCAGTTTTTCATATTTTAAATAAAAATCTAGCTAGACCTTACTATTTGAAGCTGTGCACTGAGAGGTTGCTGGGCTGGCAGGGTGCTAATGCGGTTCTTAGGTCTATCACACCAAAAGAGGCGCTAAGGGTGGAATCCGGTGGCAGCTGGGTGCTCGCCTGCTGTAGCTCATCAGCTTCATCAAGGTTCTCTCCCTTCCCCTCCTTCCAGGGCACCTAACTGCCTGGGAGCAACTCCCCCACAAAAATATTTTTGATTCTCTCTTTCTTAATAGTTTCTATGTAGTTAATGGAATTATATTTACAACATTTTTTTGTTTGTTTTTTGTTTTTTAGAATTCACAATTTCAAAAAACCTTATAATATGACCTCTTTGAACAGAAAAAAAAAAGCACTCATAGAAAAGGAAGGCGCTCAAAACATGGCCGTCCTTACCTTATTGCCGAAAATAGATAGACTTAGGTTAACAAAGAGACGTCACAAAAATGAACTGCCAGTCTGTTAAGCAGCCAACTGCATGTCACTTCTACAACGCAACAGAGAGCCTACGCCCACCTCCCGCTCCGCACATCACGACTTTGTTTCAGTGAGTGCCAAAGTCCCAGATGAAAATTCTTACAGTCTCAGAATTGGTACCAAAAATGGAGAGTAATCACCATCTCAGCGTCCTTTAAAAGTGAGAACAGAATCAAAACAACAAAACAAAATTCTTTTTTTTTTAAAGAAAAAAGAAAATTCCTTAATATATAACAAGTATACTATGGTTAGCTTTCAACTAGATATTAAGCTAAGGTGACACTAGACTAAGTCAAAATTCACTACCAAATGTGATTCAGGGAGATCGAAAAGGAGAAAGGAGAGGGGAGGGAGAGGGAGACCACCAAAGGAAAACAAACAGAACCAAACCAAAATCATGGATTATATACACGTTTAAAAGCTGTTGTCTTATATTACAGCAGGTCGGTGAGATGAGATGTAGTCAACCCTCAATCCAAAGTGTGCCATCTCTGGTTGGGATGAGGAGTGAGGCTGGTGGGGATCCAGGTCTGAGGACATCACCTAAACAAAGGGCCACTCAGAAACTTCGCCCAGTCTTGCCTGGACATCCAGGTATGCTCTGTAGGGTGGGGAGGTCAGGAGGGAGGAGAAAGAGAGATGTCAGGCACACATATGGTTCTTTGCAAGGTCTCAACTACGGTTGTCAAAGGACTAGGTTGTGTGACTGTGTATGTGTATGAAAATGGCTGGGCCAATGGCTGACTTCCCAGCTTGGTAACCCAGGTATTAAAGCCATGCCTGATGCTGGGAAGGGGCCAGACAGACCTGACACAGGGCTGGAAGGTTCTGGAGTTCATGGAGGGAAGTATGAGTCAGCATGGGTTTCAGCTAGCTGGTCAAATCACACATCGATAGGAAATTCCCTTTCTGTTTAAATTTTTGCTTTTGAAGCTTTGTCGGGGGAAAAAAAAAACCTGCAGTGGCCCACACCTTTAATCCCAGCACTCAGGAGGCAGAGGCAGGCGGATCTCTGTGGGTCTGAAGTCAGCCTGGTCTACAGAGCAAGTTTCAGAACAGCCAGATTTACACAGAGAACCCAGTCTTGAAAAGTCAAAAGTCAAAACAAAACAAAAACCAAAAACAACAACAAAACCAATCAAACAAATAAAAACTGCCATTGAGTGAAAATGTGAATTTGTACTATGAGATTATATAGTAAGGGACTGATGTAACTACTTAAAAAAAAACAAGTAAAAACTTCAAACAACAACAAAAACAAAACCCATAAACCACATAACCAGTTCTGGTTCAAGAAAACCAAAAGAGGCCCAGGAATTCAGGTTTTCTAACTGCGTTATCCTGGATGGCCTGTGGGCCCAGGCTCTTCCGTGAATGGTACTCAATGTCAGAGGGTCACTTCTGGAGAAAAACAAGGTTCCTGCCCAGTCTTTCACAGCTGCCCCGCAATCGTGTAACTTGACTTTACACTGTTGCTCTCCTGGCTACAATTATCCTTATATAAAAACTGAAACTTCGGGTTGGACGATGGACATAGACTGGGGCCAGCCTCTACCTTCCCTAGGGTAAGCTCATAGCAGCCTTGTGAGGAGGGGGAACTGTGGGTGAGGAGGGGACACTGGCAGCCTCAGTGGCTGGCCTCTCAAGGACATGCTGTGCCTAGGCAGTTTTTGAGTCCCTCTTGATTTGATAGCTGAAGTCATCTCCAGCCCTCAGAGTTCTTGGTGCACAGTCCTTGTTTTCAGAGGACCCTCGCTGTTCCCAAGCCCCCAAACCCAGCTTCATTAGTAGCGAGTAGCTCTCTTCAGACTGTTAGTGGCTTCTGGCTCTACCAGTGACGGAGGGCAATGGAGGTGAGGGATGGGAAAGTTCATACACAGGGTTTATTTGGTTAACAGAGGCAGTGGAGTTAGTCGAACAGCAACATAGGAGGCATCTAAAAGACCTGTGGAGCTCAACTCAACTGAGTTTCTCAGATGGCCCCCATCTACCCAGTCTCAGTTGCTCTGGGGCTAGGAGCAATTCCCCAATTCCTCCCAGAGAGGACAAACCCAGAGCTGCCCTGCCCCACCAGCTCCAACAGTGAACAGCTAACGGGACGTTCCAGGTAGGACCTATTGTGGGGCCTCTTCTTGACTTGCCTTCCAGCCTCCAGCTTGTATGCCACAGGACAGAACCCGGGCTTCTGTGAGAATGACAGACACTCAGTTTTGGAGGGGGGGATGCTGTAAGGGACTTGCTCACTCCCTGTTTCCTTCTGTCCCACCACCTCTGTATTTCCATCAAAGTGATTTCAAAATGTTTAATTAACTTGAGCTCAGTTTAAAAGGTTAAGAAACTGGCAGGGATCCAAATTCACGTTAGGCAGGTGATGCTGTTAATTTAATTTGCTTTTCGCGTGGTAATCTTGATAATTACTCCATAGTTAACTGGCAAAAAATGTTTTCTTTTCAGTAAAAGATGGAGTCAGGCCGTTTGGCTGCACAAACCCCACTGGTTGAGCCCGAGAAACCCACAGGGTCAGTTCAATAGGACCTTGAGAATGGCCCTGCTCCCCATCCCCTGGCCCGGGGCCTGGCAGAAGACCAATTGACCCTTCTCCATCTCCCTGGAATGGGCACAGTATGAGATCACCTTCCAGTTTCCCACACTCAAGAAAGAAAAAGAAGAGGGTGGGGAAGATACAAAAATGGAACCAAAAGAACCAAATCAAAATGAGCAAAATGAGAGGGGGGGGGGGAGCAGATGAGGGGCATGATTAAAAGCCGGAGGAAGAAATAAGAGACTAAGAGAGAGACTAAGAGACTAGATTTTTTTGTCCCCCCCTTCCTTGGAAAGGGGTTCAGAGAGAGAAGAAAGATGTGATGTGATGAGATGGGCATGTGTGTACACGTATGAGCAGGGCACATATGTGTACGGACACGCAGGCAGGGCGGAGACGCATGGCAGAGACGGTAATACCTCAGAGTGAGATGGCAACGGAAGCACCTGTTCAGTGGTATCCATTTGTAAAGGCCGTTGCAATCAAAGGGCCCTAAAATTGCACAATTGGTAAGGTCATCAGTGCGCTATACATGGGAACAGATTGTCATACTCTGGGAAAGGAGATCACCTCTAAGACTAGAGTCTGTGGTTGCCAGCATGAATATGTAATTCTGAGACACTGTGCCATGGGGAATCGGGGTGACACCATTCCCAGCTCCCTCCTTTCCTGCCCCTGTGATTCCCTCACCCAAGCTTGTATGCTTTCCAAGGGGAAACCAAGAGCCAGACTCCGAGGGGCCCATGACCCAAACAATGCCCGTAGTGATCATGAACCCCACAGGGCAAAATACAGGGATCTCTGTCCTAAGTCTCAACAGATTCATCTAAGGGAAGAAATGTCAGTGCGGATCAACGGTGATGGCCCGTGATTATTTCAGAAATAACAACACAGTGTGACGGTCCCAAGACCCAGGTTTTCAAGAACAAACAGGGTGTGTGTTTCTAGCCGCTGAAAATGGAAATGAGTCGTGTTCTGAGGGCTGATGTGACAGGCCCCCAAACTGATGCAGCTCTGGGCTGAATAACAATGTTCTGTATTTGGTACTACAGTTGATCCGAGGGGATTAGACTCATCAAACTACTGATTCAAGTAATACTGGCTTTGGAGCGGAATTGAACGGGGGCTCAGGAAGCGCAGGCCAGGGGCTGGCTGACATGCACAAGTATGTGGATATTTGTGTCTGTGTAAGAAGAAGGTGTAAGACAGAGTTTGTGCGCGTGTGGTGTGCATGTGTGTGTGTGCTCCTCCAACACCAGGAGGCATGGATGAAGTTGCCTTGGTCCCCCAGGCTCTCACAGTGGCTTTGGTCTCCCCAGCATAGTCCCCAAGACAGAGAGTTTGCCTTCTTTCTCCCAGATACAGAATCTGATGTGGGACGTAACCTGGGACAGCAGGCACCCCCATCACAACTCAAAATCAAATTGTCTCCAAAAGAGTGAGGCTGGCTAGGGCAGAGACTGCCCCGTTTTCTGTTCCCAAAAATGGAGAGGGGGGGACTGCCAGCAAGTGGGCTCAGGCACATTCATGCTCACACACCAGGAGGGGAAAGAACAATACAATCTGAAAACAGCATGCAAATCTCTTAAGCAAATTTCCATTGCCTGGATTAGTCAGATTACAGAACCACAGAGCATCACAGATATCAAATGCATCTGGCCTTGGGGGGGGGGGGCTGCAGCTAAAGAAAGGAAATGGGAACTTACTTGGAACCTAGAAACTGTAAGAAACGTTAGCAAAGGAATGGCCTGGGAGGGAACTTCCAGGCACTACTGCCACCATCGGCCAGCAGGCGGGGTTCTGGCCACCGAGGTGAGGGGAATGGCTCGAAGACTTACCATTTGCCAGAACAACGTGATTTTAGGCTATCAGCTCATTCTCACCACCCTCCCTCCCCCCTTTTTGGAGGGGAAAGTATCCTATTCTTACTTTGTAACCAGGGCCATGGGTTGTATGAGTGGTTCAAGGTGGCAAAGGCCAAAGGTGACGGAATGGTGGCCATACACCTTACGCTATGTGGCTGGGCCAGTGGATGGGAGCTTCAGCTGGCCTGCTGTTGATGGGGGGCCACCCTGTCTCTTCTCGGTCCTTAACCCTGGGCTCTCCTCCCCATGGGCTGTGTGGGGTTGGTGAGGAAGGAGGAGGCAGGAAGGCAGTGAGGTAGGTACTTACAGCTATGCCGTGGCCGAAGCCCGAGCCAGGCTGTGGGCTGGCTGCACTTATGTAATTCCCCACTCCGGAGTCCTGGCTGGCAGGGCCGTAGAGATCGGCGACAGGTCCTGGGCTGTTGGCCCCTGGGAAGCCTCCGGGCCGCGCCGGGTTGGAGCCTGCCGGGGAAGCGGGCGCGCCAAAATTCGGTTGAGCACTGTAGCTATTCAGGACTGGTGTGCAGAGAATAGAGCTGGGTATGAGGCCAGAAGCCAGGCATGCACCGATCATTACAAGCCAAACACTCGAGAAAAAAAAAAAACAGCTGAGGCCCAACTTCTAACACTCAACCAAGGCCATGCGAAAACATCAGCAGGGACTCAAGAATACTCAGCCCAGGCTACCACTAAGAAGCTTGGAGCTCCAGAAATAGATAGAAGAAAAAAAAAAAAAACAATCATTCAACACAGTATGGCAACCAACCGGAGGTGCTTCACTGCCCACCGAGTTATCACAATAGAAATAGAGATATATATGGAGAGAGAGAGAGAGATTTTTTTTTTCACATCTGAATTGACGCTCATGCAGTCTTCTAGATTTGGGCACGTTGAGACAGCATTCACATCCCATGCAAACTACAAAGGAACTAGTTTTAGACTACACATTGTGTTAATATTGATATTAAAACATGACAGGAAACAAAAGCAATTTTGTGTCCTTGAAAAAAATATCTTTGGGAAAGGGATTTTGGATTCATTTTTTTCGTGTGTGTGTGTGTGTGTGTGTGTGTGTGTGTGTGTGTGCACGTGTGTATGTTTCATTTCATTTCTCTTTGTTTTTGGATCCATTAAATGACAAATTTGTATGTGTGTGGGTTTTTTTTTTTTAAGACAAAATAAAAAAATCTCTATTCTGCATCCCTCCTCCTTCCCCCCCTCCCCACTGGCTACTCCCTCCCTCCCCACCCCTCCCATTTATACCCTGTATGAAAGTCAGCAGTATTGAAGTGGTCAGAGGATGGCATATGTCATGGAAAGTTCGGGCGTCTTTAACATAACAGGAATGATGGTGGACAAGTCCTCTTTTGGGGTGCAGAGCAGGGGGATGGAGGGAGGGGATGGGGTGGGAATGGTAACCTGAAGGTTGGCTAAGGCTGGGGTGGAGCCAATGGTCCTAAGAGGATACCCACACTCACCTCCTGCAGGAGAAGGAAAGGGAGGGAGGGATTTTAACTTTTTTCCTTTGGTTAAAAAAAAAAAAAAAAGACAAAGAAGTGTGAACGCAGAGCATACTAACCAAACCAGCTGACAGCAAAATGCGTCTGATCGCATACATTATTTCAGGTAGGAACTCCAGACTGGGAAAAATCAGGATGAGAATGCACCTTGGCTACAGAGGGAGACCAGCATCCCCTGTGTCTGCGGGATGGGTGGCCAAAGGCGACACGACCTTAAGCTCCATCTTTGCCTATCCCTGGCCCATCACACCTTCCTAGTGAGGGCCCCAGCCTGTCAAACAGGCGAATTGTGCTTCCGCTTTACAGCCTCTTAGTAAACTCAACTTTATTTTCTGTTTTAAAAAAATCTCCACCATAGGCCTTTGGGTGGTGACACACGCCTTTAATCTCAACTCTTGGGAGGTAGAGGCAGGTGGATCTCTATGAGTTCCTGGTCTACACAGCAAGTTCTAGGCCAGCAAAGGTTACACACTGAGATTCTGTCTTAAAAAAAAACAAAACAAAACAAAACAAAAAACCAAAAAAACAAAAAAATACCCCCTACAAAAAAACCAAAACAAAATCCCAAACAATTTCCATTGTAAAAGTAAGCTCTTATTGGCTTTGAAACCTCCAGTGAGTGGGGGGCTGGCAGCTGCCAGTCCGCAGCTCGCATGTTTTGAAGAAACCAAGACTGAGTGATGGATACTCGCGTGTCTTCAGCTTTAGAAGACTCACTTACCCTTCCTAGCTCCTGAGGCGTCTATCCCCTGCCCTGTAACAGCTGCCTTCCAAGGCAAAGAGAATATCTAAAGTGAAGAGTGGAGTCCCTCTGGCCTGGGGACCTGTAGCTGGATGACCTCACTTCTCCCGTGGCTTTGAAGAACATGTAAGTGGATTGATTTTTTTCTCCCATGCACTTGTAATAGGAGCGAGAAGAGATTCAAGACACTGCTCTTGAGAAGGGGACACAAGATCCAGGGTGGACAAAGCCAAGCTGGGCCTGGCTTCCGCCTCAGCAGAGGAAAGGGCGCTGCTGCCTCTGGATGCCCTCGGGCAGGAGTTCCTTTGAAATTAATAAACAAGACAACCGAGCAAGCAGGTTAAGGGGGGAAGGGGCGGAGCAAAGAGGCTTAAAGCAAGCGAACAGCTTATTTGGAAATGTACTGGTAGACAACAGGGTTTCTGAGTAAAGAAGACTAAATCTGAAGATATCATTGGGTCCTTTTGGCTCCTGGAGGCAACTACCCAGCCGAGGAATCCAAAAGGCGGCGCTATATGAATGGAGCAAACCTTTTCCACCTGGGCTCTGCAAATGTAAAGAGCTGGACAGAGGGCTCTTGGTGTACCCAGGTGCCAACTCCCTCCCTTTACAGAGGAAGGAACTGGCTTAGGGGAAGAGGTTGAGGCGGGGTTGAGAAAGCTCACAAGTGGAAGATGGAGGGAAATTTTTCAGCTTCTTTCTCCTCCAGACGGATTTGTTTCCAGGAAGATACTAGACAGGGGATGGAGAGAAAGCAAGGGAGTTGTCTGGAGAACAAACCTAGCCAGAGAAAAACAAGAGGCAGCATGCCCACAGAAGAATGTTGTCCAGAGAGACCTCTGTGCAAGGCCTGGAAGGCAGGGGGGTCTGCTGGTGTTCTCCCAATCCTTGGCAACTTTTCTGGTCCCACGAGCACCTGAAAGCCTGGTGCCTGAGACAGTCTGGAGAGAATCTCACAGCCCTTCCTACCCAGCCATCTTTTATCAAACGATACCAACAGCACTCTGGAAAGAAAGGCACTGTCCTAGAATGCGGCTTCCCGCCACTCCTAGTTCCATTGTTAGGCATCTGCTCAGCTCAAGCCCAGCGAAGGGGAGGCGACTTGGCTGGCAGGTCCTCACCAGAGGGTACAGTGGGCAGGCGAGAAACATCTAATTCTGGGCTGGTCTGCTTCTCCAGGGACAGTGGAACCTCGGCCCTTATGGGATTGGCCAAGAAGAAGAGCTGTCTCTTCATACTCCACATCTGTCTCCTGTGGCAGAAGAACCACATTCCAGACGGCATGCTAAGGTCCCCAGGCAAGCAACCTAGGCATATTTGGGAACACTTCAGGAAAGGATAGGGACAGACACTTGGAAGCTGGGACAGAGGAGTTTCCTTGTTTTCTGGAAGTCATCACAGTTCCACAAATTGTGTACTAGTTGGCTGCTGTGGTAACAGGGACCCTCTCTTTCTCCAAGCTGTGAGAGGCACAGGAGCAGGCAAGAAGCCAAACCACTGTGTGCTGCCTCCTGTGAAATGAAGGGCTCCCTTCCCTAGGCACCAGAACTCATTCGAAGGGGTCAGGTGTGGTTCCCCCTACCCCAGGATCAGGTTAGGAAGAAGAGAGGTGACATCATTTTTCATGGATAAAGAAGGGCATCTTGACTTTGTATGGCTAGTCCAGTCATGACTGTGCGCATGCATGTGTATAATATGCAGAAACATCATAGCATGCCTGAAGCAGAAGCTGAGGCTGTTACATGGCCTGGGAGACTCCTGTAAGAGGCTGACTGTCTGGGGGCTCACTGTGGTAAGCAGGCTCATTTCCCAGTCAGCAATTCTGGGCAGTGTCCAGCCCTGACTTAATTCTAGGTTGGTTCTTCCTTCTGAACATGGTCCCCAGCATCCTCTAGGCTTTTCCAGTCCAGGCAGCACCCACAGGAGGCAGGCAAATGGATAGAGAGGGGACACTGGACTTGGAGTCAGAAGACCCGAGTTTGACCCTGGCCCTTCCCCGACACCTGTGTGCCCTGGTCCAGCCTGTGTCCTCATCTGTAACACACGAGTACTGTGTCCTTATTCAGCCTGAGTCACCAGGCTGCTGTGAGAATGAAAAGGAGAAAAGGCTTCGTGACTTATCAGGTGTATGCAGAGCCCAACACAAGTACTGTATGAGGGAGCAAAATCCAACAGAATTGCCACACAAACCTGAAGGTGATTTACGAAAGGGTCTAATCCATCTCTTGGTGCATTTGATCACCCTGGACATGAAGAAAGGACTCTTGGGGGAGGGGCTACGTGAAAAGCTGGGACACCTGCCATGCCTCAGGACAGCAAAGCAAGAGGAATGCATTTGAGTGAGAGTTGGAGGCATTTTACGTTAAATGAAAAAGCTTTCTTATACTCAAGAAACGTGTGGATGGCTGACTCAATGAAGCCCTCTTATCTCAGGGATGGGAGCAGAAATGGAGTAGCAGCCTATGCTGGAGATGCAGACCCTTCCCTGAGATGTCAGGCCAGTGCTTTTCAGGCAGTTTCCCCCACACTTCTAAGAGAGCCAGGGGGCTGCCATCTGTATGTGGCTTGGCTTACCTGTGGTCAGGAAGGGCTGGGCCAGGCATGGGATTAATCCCTGGGAGTAGGGAAGTGAAGTGAATCACAATAGCCTTTCTGTAGGTCTGGACATCCAGGTCTTTCTATGCTGTCTAGCGCTGGTTAGAATGTGAAGGGACAGCCGACAAGGAGATCCCCTCGTAGCGACAGCACCCAGGAAGTGCTGCACTAAGCCATCCAGCTTCTGAAGGTTGCCTCCCCATCCAGCCCTCTAGGGTCTGAGATCAAGATTAAACAGCGAGCCCAATGGCTGGAAGCAGCTCCCTCCTCTCTAACAGTTTGGCGAGTCCAGGCTGAACTTTTTGTTTGATGTTGAGAAAGTACCTTGGCCTGTTTAGATCTGAGAACCATCTTTGTCTTGAGGCACACGGGTCACCTAACTCATCAAGGAAGAAACCAGTCTGGCTTTCCCAGCGTCTCCAGTCACTCCCACTTGCTGCTACCCTGCTACAGGCTCACCCTGAAGGTCACATGCCTGCCTGCCTGCCCCAGCCAGAGATCTTCCTGCTTTATATGAGCAGTATGCATTTTTCTGTATTGCAAATATGCTGAAGGATTATGAAATCCGGGGCCAGGACTATAGACTTAAAGATGGCCTCACACTGTATTCCAGCAGTGATGAAAAGCTATGTAAGAATCAGTGGTCAGGACATCCCTGT